TCAGGGCAACTGAGGACAACTAGTTGCCGAAAAGTAGAACACGGGCAACTGACTGGAACTGGAGACCGACTGATCATCTCCAGTTGTAAGAGCGCGCACATCGACCGATTTCGGCAACTGATCATCTCCCACCATCTCCTCTCAGTTGCCAAAAGCCGCCTTGCAACTAGTTGTCCCCAGTTTCTCTGTCGATGTACGCTAGGCTTTATGTTGTGTAGTTGGAGCCTCTAGAAGTGCAAAAAAGTTGAAATCAGTCTCTTTATGGGTTGCAGAGAACACTTCATATTCTGTTTAGGTAAGATTTTTCAACCCGTTCTGATTTTGCCATTCTCTATTACGTGTTTAGAATTATTACGTCACAGTATTTGCAGCGAGACTGCTATATAAGGGCATGGGCGTCTAACAAAACACTTCGACCCAGCCCTCCTCACTTAATTTGTAGTCCAAGCTCAAGGATGCCAGCGAACAGGGCTGGACTGGCCATCGGGCGTACCGGGCAATGCCCAAAGGGCAATGCCCATATTTGGGCCGGTCTGTCTGCCTCATACAAAACAAAAGTGTAAATCCGTTGAGAATTGTTGGAGCGGGGCGCGCATATCCGCGGGGCACCTGCTGTATGCACTCGAACGGGATTCCGCCACCTCAGCGGCCGCAGTGTTCCGGGGCATCTGCGGCCGCTTTGTAATGAGCAGCTTCCGCGTCCAGCGGCTGCGAGAGGCTGTGAGCGTCCAGCCGCTCGCAGCCGCTCCACCGTGTTGTGGCTGAGCGCGCAGCCTCAACGTGGCCATGTACCCAACCCCATAAACGCGCACAGGACCATGCGTGTCTTTGAGTAATCTGTGCACCCAATAAATACACTGCTGCAGGAAACAGTCCGGGTCTCCCCTCTCCTCTCGAAGCGCGATTAAACGCCCTAAATAAAGCTCTGATACCTACATTTTGCATTGCATTAAAAGTTCATGTTTGAGCCCAAAAGTAATATGTTGTGAACAAATTAAACAGATTTAGAGCCAGCAAATGGCTGACAATATGCATTACAGTCTTTTTTGACCAATTCTCATCCCTGTAACAAACAATAGTGTTGTCTGTGTCCACCTCCCTCACTCTGAGACATGTTTATTACTCTCTTGTAATGTAGACTATTGCATTTTATTTTATTGTTGAAACTGCACATACTGTATCCTGATCCTCTACAGTATTTGCTTCCACATACTGTATAAACTAGGGGTCGGCAACCTGCGGCTCCGGAGGCGCATGCGTCTTTTTCCTTCTGTAGAAGGAAAAACGTTCTTAACGTTTTTAAATGCTGTAAAATTGTGCATAAGTAATATTCAATTTAAAAATGTCTGTCAACGTGTCTGACAAACCGGCGTGTGAGCCTCATAGACTGTGCGCATTGATCCCAAAGCTAAAAAGAGAAGAGTCGATAATAAGACTTGACTAAGAATGAAAATTAACATTTGCTTTCAGTCAATGAGGAAGGACTGCTTCATGTTTGCGATGTAATGAGAAGTTTCTATGAAATAATTGTATCTGTGCTTAGAAACTACAAAAATGGCCGCTCGGGGTGGAGTTGAACCTGTGTCACCTGGATGGGGGGGTGGTCAAAAGCGCCTCATTTGCATTTAAAGAGACAGCACCAAAACAGGTTGCTCTCAGACGCACCTCAGAACAGGGGTAGAAGAAAGGCCCGTGGAGCTACAAATAATGAGACTCAGACACAGGCATTGCAGTTACGCTTTATATAGGCCACAAATTAATGATTTAGATGTAAAAATCAATTATTTGAAAACACGATATGTCCACTTTAACACAGCAGACTCGTATGCCTAGTGTATACTTGCACGGCGCTGGTAGCGGTTGCGCTGGACTTACACACCCACAGTTGCTTGTACACTTGCATGTTCCCCTTACATAGTTTTGAAGAGAATGTTGTAATCCCACACCCAACCATGTGATGCCGATCTTACAGGAGTTTCCTGGGAAACCTAAGCTGTCCCATTTACGCTGCTACTTTCTCCTTTTCAGAACAAAAACAATGGTGAAGCTGTTTGAGCTCATTACATAGGTTTATATGATAGTTCAATGGACTCATTATTTCATAACTCATTTCAACTGTGATGTTTTGAATAAAGACTCAGTTCTAGTTTGAAACATAGTTAAGTGCATTCACGCACAAACAGCAAAAACATCCATCCATCCATCCATTTTCTTCCGCTTTATCTGTTGCCGGGTCGCGGGGGCAGCAGTCTAAGCAGAGACGCCCAGACTTCCCTATCCACACACACTTCCTCCAGCTCGTCCGGGGGGACCCCGAGGCGTTCCCAGGCCAGCTGAGAGACATAGTCCCTCCAGTGTGTCCTAGGTCTTCCGCGGGGCCTCCTCCCGGTGGGACGTGCCCGGAACACCTCCCCAGGGAGGCGTCCAGGAGGCATCCGGAACAGATGCCCGAGCCACCTCAACTGGTTCCTCTCGACGTGGAGAAGCAGCGGCTCTACTCCGAGCTCGTCCCGTGTGACTGAGCTCCTCACCCTATCTCTAAGGGAGCGCCCAGCCACTCTGCGGAGGAAGCTCATTTCGACCGCTTGTATCCGCGATCTCGTTCTTTCGGTCATTACCCAAAGCTCATGACCATAGGTGAGGGAGGGAACGAAGATTGACCGGTAAATCGAGAGCTTTGCCTTTCGGCTCAACTCCCTCTTTACCACAACGGTCCGAAACAGCGACCGCATCACTGCGCACGCTGCACCGATCCGCCTGTCAATCTCACGCTCCATTCTTCCCTCACTCGTCAACAAGACCCCGAGATACTTGAACTCCTCCACTTGAGGAAGGACCTCTCCACCCACCTGCAGAGGGCAAGGCACCTTTTTCCGGTCGAGCACCATGGCCTCGGATTTGGAGGTGCTGATTCTCATCCCAGCCGCTTCACACTCGGCTGCAAACCGCCCCAGTGCATGCTGCAGGTCCTGGTTCGTTGGAGCCAACAGTACAACATTGTCCGCAAACAGCAGAGATGAAATCCTGTGGTCTCCGAACCGGACCCCTCCGACCCCTGGCTGCGCCTAGATATTCTGTCCATAAATACAGTGAACAGAACCGGTGACAAAGGGCAGCCCTGTCGGAGGCCAACATTCACCGGGAACTGTGGCCGTAAAAAGCTCTTTTGGCTGATGTTTTCGATTCGTTATCAAAGGTGCTAATTCAAGCGTAAATATGATGTTTGCTTAATGCCTATTGAGGGACCTATCGTGATGGGCTCTCAGGACGGCTTGCTGACTAATTACCGACAATTACAGAGGCATTTCTAAGTCCTTTGTCATGAAATACTGGGATGTTTAACCCTCCTCCCCTCCCTCTCTGTTTGAAGCTGTTTTTGTGACTTGTGTGTACTTACTTGTTGAATTTTATTTATTTTTTTGGTCTTCAAGGTCCAGACTCTTTGTTTTATTTATTTATTTTACTAAACAAATATAATAAAAAGAAAAAGGAATCATTCTGGACGTCGCTTTGGAATGTCCTCCGCATGTACCCCTGTTCAGCGGCTTACGGGGGATACCCCGGACACACGGAGCGACTGGGACCCCGTAAACCCCGGCAACAGAAAAATGAAGAAACTGAGTGATGGTTGTCTCATGACACGGCTAGAGATTCTCACATCAGTGTCTGATCAGAACACATACAGAGAGGGTTAGTGAAATGTTACACTGCTTGCTTAACATCCCCACTCTTTGAACAGCAAACAGGTTGAATATTCCATGCACAAAAAAGATTTCTCGCCAAAAGAAAGTCAGATTTCAGTAATAACATTTGCCAGTTTCATTTAGCGAGTGCTTTAATCCTGAAGCTTGACTCGGTGCCCTCCTGACTACACGCCGCTCGGGCTGCCCGTTCCACGTACTCGCGCCAAGGCCCTTTCCCGAGTGCTGTTTGGTAAGACCCGTTTGGTATTAGCATTTTCAAAAGGCAAGGAGTCAAGAGTCAGGAACCAGGAAAGGTCACCGTTTCCTGCCTCTTCAAACTCCACACTCTGTCAAGCCCAGGCCCCGCCGCTCGACCGACCACACCAACGCAAAACTGAAGAGATCGCCCACTTTTTTCTCCTCCAGTGACATTAAAAGGCTCATTTAGCTCCACTCCCAAAGCCTTGATCAGGCCCAAGATATGACTTTTCCCACTGAAAGAATTGGTGACATTTGAATATTTTAGTTTAATTTTGAAATAACGATGTGTGACGAGACGAGACGATTATTTATAACAAGAGAAGGTATTTGTAAAACCTTAGACATGAACCATCAGGCGTTGAGAAACTTCTAAGTAAATCCTTGTCAGCTGTTCAGACTGTACAATAATTCACTTAAGTCAGTGGACTACAGGTGTAAATTAGCAATGCTCTACAACCCGATACAATGCATCTCTCCTTTTGGCTACCGTTTATTTGTACACTGTCCCTGTAAAAATAAAAAAAACATACCATACCATACCATACCATACCATACCATCACCATACAAAGAACCATACCATACCATACTGATACCATACTAATGCTCAGCTATTTCCCACCTCCTTTCTGCCCCTTAAACTGTTACATAATTATATCCTGCACAGACTATATTTTCTGCCTTTAACACAGTTTTTACACTTCTCAATCATGAGTGAAATCTGTCTGTGCCAAATTTACTTATACATTTTTCATCAGAGATCAACAAAGTCTATCTTTCTTATCTATATTTCTATTGAAGATGATACAAAACATACCGACATCAAGAGTGTTCTTAATCTTTCCCCCATCAATTTGTAAATTACAAAATGCTGTGAATCTGGGCGGATCTGCATTATGGGAGCCCATAAAATCTAACTTTGAGTCTTTCATGAATTGCATGTGTGAGTCCAATAACTTTGTCCTAAACTTTTGCACAGACGTGAGTCCTAAGTGTACAGATGTCCGTGACTCTGTGAACATGTCAGTGTGGATGGTATCGTCCACGTCCTGCTGCACATGAACGTTCTGAAGACTCGCGGCGGGAGAGAAAGCCGACTGCGCCCAGGAAGCAAGAAAGGGGGGGGGGGGGGGGGGGGGGGGGGGGGGGGGGGGGGGGGGGGGGGGGGGGGGGGGGGGGCAGGGAGCACTCTGTGGACTATATTTTCATGAACGTCTGTGTGGCTCCCAGTATAAGCTAGCAGTGGTGGCGAGGGGAGATGTGGTGCTAAGACCCACATCCAGAGGGCCGGGGGCAGGCGGGCAGAGGCAGAGTCCCATCGTCAGCGTGGAGGCCTGGCACTGGTTTGAAAGCAGCTCCTCCGGGCCGTTTCTGCTCCTGCACCTCTGTCTGACCCGAACCTCTGCAGCTGCTGCCAACAGTCTGACACACGAGCAGGAGAAGGATGTTTTTTGTTTGCTACTATTGTGTCTTGTTTAACAATGAAAGGCAGAACATGGCAGAGTGGTTAGCATTATGCATCTCAAGGGCCCTTCCAGAACAGGGCGGAGAGTGGAGTTGCATGTTAACCATGTTGTATAACATGTGTTTACTCATTATAAACATGTACACAGTGAAATCCTCCATCTTCAGTCCTGACAAGAGCTTCAGCCTCTATGGGTCCACCAGGCGCTGTACTCACTGCCCACTGCCCCGAAGGAGGCAGTGAAATGGTTCAAATGTAGAAGACACATTTTCCCAACAATGACAAACTTAGCTTTACAATAATCTATGAAAGTTTTCCAGTAATCAGGATACAAACCTCGAAAAAGCACTGGTGACTTTTGGCCACACGTGAGGTTCATACTTTGAGAAACATTCACATTACTATAAGAGTCCATCTGAACAACAAACAAGAGCAGACCCTTCAATGATGAAAATGTTTGGTGCAAAAGAACATTAAAGCCTTATCCGGGATTGATTTATTTAGAAAATACAGTTTTAAATACCATTTTTATTAGAAGAGAACTACTAAAGGTTTCAAAATCAGTTTGTTTTTTTTTGTCTGACCCCCCAATCGAAATAACCCCATAGCAACGCCCTTAGAGGACTGAAAAAACTTCACAGCCCTTGGGTGACGTCAGAGCGGGTACGTTTCAACCTGTAAGTTGTATTGACAATTTGGTATTCGTTCTTTTTTCGCGGATATTCAAGATGACAAGGCCGTTACAGAGAGTATGAGATAGTACCAGATTAAACACTTTGGGTTGTCACTGAATAGTCCCGGTAGTGGTTGTGTCGATGGACGCCAATACCAGATACTTGGGTTCAAATCCCAACACAGAACCACATTTTCAACTCTCCACACGCAATTTATATGTGTATGAGCAATTGTCACCTGTAGATGGCAGTATTGTGTGTTGGGCAGTCAGTGGAGAGAAGAGAGAAAAGGCAGTCCTGTGGCATAGATCAAAGTTTTCAATGCATGGGCTTACCCGCTGTGACGTCCACACACAGGTTTAGAGCATAGACAGCTTAAATTCATGAAAAAACAAATTCCTAAATAAACAAATAGGAAATTTTTAGCCATAAACTATTTTCCGATCGACCATTATCATGCTAATTTTGATATCCACAAATTGTTTTTTTTTTAAACCCTGCATAAGGTCTTTAAACTAATGTCCTTTTTGGGAGTACCACTTGACTCGACTCCAGCCTCTTTTCCAAAAGTGGCACGGATCCGACTGATAGATGTGGTTGTCTTGCTTCCCTCGATAGTCAGCAGACGCCAAATGATCTTTATGTGAATTCCAGGGTCTGCATTTAAAGCTTTCAGACCTGACTTGACGATCTGACCCAAAAATACATTCTTACATGTGTTCTGATTTGTCATTTTGCTGATGAAAAACACGGCCGTAAACAAGGCTTTTCTCCTCGTCCTGCCAGTGGTTCTTAGTCGCGTTCAGTTGTTGATTTTTGGACACCAGCTGCGAGGTCCTCACTTGGTTTCTCCCAATTCTTTTCAACTTTAACTGTTTTCTCCTAAGCAAAGAATCTTTCTGCTCGGTGTGAAGTCCATGTTGTTGTCATCAGATGTTTGTGTGAATCTAATCAACCTGTTTCTACTCACCATCCTCTTTGACAATGATTTACTCATTCTTGCCTCATAAAGCAACCCACCCCACCCCCCCTCCCCCTCTGCGCCCCTGTTGTTTTTCTCGTCCCGGGCGTCCTCTCCGCTGAGCCGAGTGTGAACAGTAAATAAATCACTAATAGCAGCGATAGTGCAGATAACGAGACATAGGGGGATAGAGCGCTGCAGATGTGTGCAGATGCGAGCTTGGGGCCAAATGGAGAGGCCTGCGAGCTCACGGAGCACGGAGCAGGACGCCGCCCCGAAACTGCCACGATCACAGTCTGAACGCCACAACACGAGGAACCGCCGATGGAGGGCGACCTGCGGTTCAATGACAACTGTTTTTATAATGAAGCTGCCTGGGATCAAAAGCCTTCTGCCGACCGCACGATAAGACCTAATGAAAAGAATTGGAAAACGTGATAAGGATTTTCATTTGCAGTCTTAGACTCACACACACGGATTCAAAGGTTGACCTATATAATCCAGTTCCCAACAGGCGCTGCTCTTGGTCCTTTGGCAGACTCTTCCAAAGGACATCATCACTGTGAATATTGGAACCACAGAGCCATGAGAAGTGTTTACTGATGTATCTGCAGAATGGTCACAAACAGTTTCTACACGAGGGAGTCAGTACTTTAATATTTTTTTGTCACTAAATTAAGAGATATAGATTTTATTTTGTTAATATTGAGTTGCGCTATACTTATTATTCATGTATACATGTGTGCTTCTCATTACTATCCTGTAAGAGGTGGTTTACTGTGGAATATTGTTTAGTCATGTATGTGCAGTGCATGGTCCGGCGCTTTAACTCATAGACCTGCCAGTGACGTACTTGTCTGAGACCGTGTTTTCTGTAAACACTTCCCTCTATTCGACTGGGGATTACAGAGAACGAACTACTATAACCAAACTTATTTTTTGCTGATGAAAGTAGACATTTCCAATCTTTTCCAGAATCTGGTTCATATTTCACGTAGTCCAGAGCACATAATAAATCTGTGGGTCTTGAAAGTCAGTGATGCATCAAAAACGGCTGCAGTCAATGAGTTAATGACACTTAAACTAAACCACAAAGCTCAAAGTCTGTTTTTTTTTTTATTTTTTTTTTTTTTTTTTTTTTATTTTTTTTTGTTTTTTTTGTTCTGTAACTATTGATGCCAACACTGCCATTTTTCACACTCTGGTTCATCGAACACCCTTTCCCCACAGGTAACAGAAGTTTTTTGTATAATTAAAGCTGTTGCTGTGTCTTTTTGCAAAGGAGCGACTCAAAGATGTGACAGAGACAAAAACCTGTGAAAACTAGAGATAGAAACCAGAATGTTTTTTTTTTTTTTTTTTGTTTTTTTTTTTTTTTGTTTTTTTAAAGCCAAGAATGTGGAACTGTTTTATGACATAATTGGTTTTCAAGATCACAAGACTTGAAAAATCCTATAAAAGAAAGATATTTCTTATGTCATTCACTTATTTGAGGTTTTTTTTTGTGTTAAATACACACCGATTAATGGCTTTACCGTTTAAGAATTCAACCAATTCCTTCTTGCTTCTGACTTCTCAGCCAAAACAACTGAAACACAATTCAGAGTTATTAAAGCAAATCGAGAGAAATGGTTTCAATTCTCTTTTCAAAGGGAGGGTTCCACATTCAGAAACATCTGCACAAAAAACCCTTTACATATTCAGAGCGGGAGAGAGAAAGAGCCGCAGCGGTGACAGTTAGGGTAATGAGGGAAAGTCGCTAATGTTAATCAGGAGTTTATTTCAGCTCCTGCTGCGGTGACAAAACGGGCAAGAGTTCAAGAACAATCCTCAGACTTAAAAACACAATTAGGAACCATCTTTGAGGACTTGATGACTGGAAGGAGAGTGTTGTACAATGGGAGGAAATGAAAATGTAGAGATGAGATGTTGGTAACTCTGAAAACATTTGTCTCGACACCTAAAGGCTTTAGTGCCGCGGGTCTCTTGTTCTTGTACCACTTTATTTATCAAGAGATTGTGACTAAAGCCCTTGTCAAAAAACACTTGCTTTTTGCTTTATGTGTTCCAAAAATCACTAGGTCTACAGAAAATCTAAAGTGTCCATGTGATTAAGTGAATGAAGACCCAAAATTAGCAGGAATGCCAAAATAAGGGTTTAATGATAAAAAAGTCCAGATGAAGACCAACTCAAAATCCAAAACTCAAAAACAGGACCAGGAACAGGACGGAAACAGACAGAGACATGAAACATAGAAAAGCAGACGTTGACAACCCACAATGGACCAGCACAAGGGGGACAGGAGGCACAGGTACAAACAGACACAGACACAGGACAGGTCACACTAAAACTTATTCACAATAACAAACGTCAAAATATAACAAAAATACAAATGAAATCGCCACACCATAACAAAAATTCATCAAAGAAGGCGAGTTTATGCTCTGGGGGCTGTACAGTAAAACTCAGATACCCCCAGAGACGCAGGTACTTAGCAGGTGTTGAAAGGATGACCAGTAATGCAAACGTATAATTTAAATCTGCATTTTATTGGATCCCCGTATGGCAATTTGTCCACTGCAATTAGACCCCGGCTCCTGAAAGCCACAAGCGCAGTGGTCGCCGTGGTAACAGCGACCGGGAATCCATCACCAGAAATGGGGCCTTGGCTGGTCAGGACCAGAGCAGGAGGAGTACATCTTTTTTTGCTCCATATATGGTTCAAGCTGGTCTGGGTCAGGGTCTGATGTAGGGAAACCGAGCACCTGGAGGAACCCACATGACACGTGGAGAACAAGCAAACTCCATCAGATAAGTCTGGTGATGATCAACGGATGAACCTGTGGAAAACATGTATTATTTCAGAACATAAAAACCACAAAGCCAACACATTATCCCTGACATTTCACATATCTGAAAACAGTTGGAATCGCACACAGGACCTTTTCGCAACAACAACAGCAGTGTTTTTTCATCGTGACCATTTAACCCATTGTTTTCTAGAAACTGAGTAAAATGGATGAAATTTCTCCCCCCCACAGAATCCCAGACCACCGTTTCTTCAGAAGGAAACAGCCCAGTGGTAATATTAGAAACCTCTGGGAAGAACCACAGAAGAATAGATTCCAGTCCCACTCACAGACGGCTGCAGGCTGTGTTTCTCGGACCCACATGTGAACCCCAAACTCATTCTTACGTCAGATACTACAGTCATTTAAGTAGATTTTTTCCCAGTAACCAAAATAATTACTTGTTCATTGGTTCGTATATTTACAGTTTGGCGAACCACTCCGGCCGTTCTTTTGAATGAACTGTCTATCTGTTCACTATCGACTGCCAACTGTTTTTTGCGAGGCCTTCACTGACTTCAAGACCCTCAGAATATTTGGTTTTTGATACTGCGTGAAAATATGAAACGCAGATTCAGCCTGATTGAGACTGTCTACTTTCATCAGCAAACATAAGTTTGTTTCTAGCTAGTTCTGTTCTCCTGTAATCCCCACGCAAATAGAGGGAAGTTTTGAAAGAAAACACCAGTCTCAGACAAATACTTCAACCGGTTTTTTTTTTTTGTTTCATGAGTAAAGTAAGCAAGCATAAAGTCACCACAACTTCAGATATCAGAGCAATGGCAGATCATTTTATTTGCCATTTGCAGTAAAAACACCACATGGAATATTATAGCCAAATCTTCAGTGTGCACAGACAAATACAGACATAAAAACATTAAAAAGTACAAATAAAAACCAAATAGAACACACAAATGTCACTGTGAAATCGTCGACTAAAAACAGTATCAATACAAAGAACCAAACATAAAGTCTCGTTCAGACTGATAACAGCTCGTGGAAAGAAGCTGTTAGCATATTCGGAGGTCTCTCTCTGGTCTTCTCTCTCTGGTCTCTCTCTGGTCAGGATTTATAAAGAACCTCCCGAACATGAAGCTCACAGCCCATCTCTCCTGGTGGTCTCTCTCTGGTCTCTCTCTGGTCTCTCTCTGGTCTCTCTCTGTCACTCTCTGGTCTCTCTCTGGTCTCTCTCTGATCTCTCTCCTAGGGTCTCTCTCAGGTCTCTTTCTGGGTCTCTCTCTTGGTCTCTCTCTCTCTCTGGTCTCATCTCTGGTTTCTCTCTCTGGTCTCAATCTCTGGTCTCTTCTCTGGTCCTCCTCTCTCCTCAGGTCTTTCCTCTGCTCTCTCTGGTCTCTCTCCTGGTCTCCTCTCTGGTCACTCCTGGACTTTCGTCTGGTCTCTCTCTGGTTCTCTCACAGCCCACGTCCTCTTGCAGAGCGGAGCACCTTGTTTAAAAGCTGTCTTTTTCTTTATCTAGTGATGTTTTCAAGTAACCCTCTCTGGTTAAGCAGAATCTTAGAGTTAGTGGTAAATTCTCTAAGTTTTCGAGAAAGTAGAGACGCTTTCTTCCGACTCTCTCTGGTCAGAGTTCGTCAACGATCTGGTCGATGCCTCTCAAACTGGGAGTTAAATTCTCTCAAAATATATTGTAAACAATTGGGTTTTGCAAGTAATTTACAGACATATTTTACTTGGCAACATCAAAAAGTCAAAAATGGCAGGATTAAAAGTGGTTTGCACACAGAGTCTGGTTTTAAAAAAAAATAGTAGCACACAACTACAGATCTGCCTGGGGCAGACATGAGAACACGTGGCTGCCTCAATCTCGTCCTGTGGACTTCGTTCTCGTGAACCACAGCAGACTTTCCTGTTTGTCTGAGTCCTGGGGTTTGTTGCTGATGATGAAGCAGGTGAAAATGTAGCGCAATAGTAGGATTTCCTAAAAAGTTTGCGTGGCGGCATCCAGACAATAGCGTTATTTATTAACAGCGCTGCCAGCCGTTGGGAAAAAAATGGGATGCTCAGTTAAGTGAATAATTAGATTAAACTTTGAATAGCGGCGCATTTCATTTAATTAAATGTGTTTTATAATTTATTTTTCCGAGCTGCAGCGAAGAAAGGCACTGCAGAGACCGAATCTGCCTTCCTCGACCTTCTTCCAGTTGCCAGAGAGAAGACAGGAGAGACGTTTGGGAAGTAATGTTAAAGTCATTTGGAACAGACAAGGATTGATCGACAAACTTCTAAAAAGAATGGCAAAAAAACTACCCTGGTCGTACCCACCATATACACATTTCATTTCATACTAAGTCTGGATTTGCTCCATTGACTCCGTTACCAGTGGGAGGGGTTAACTCCTTTTGCAGATTTGGAAACCATTGATCTGAGTTTACTGTGAGCGTATGTAAATGAGCCCGAGTGAGTCGTTAGCATTTAGCAGTTAGCCTAGC